AATTCGCAAAAATATGCAATTTTTTAATGCGACCTTCAGCTGGATGACAAATCAACTGCACACATGGCGACGTCGGTTTGTACTTTAAATATTCAACCCACCTAGTTAAGTAGCTTCAAAATATGCCCATTCTAATGAAACTGCTGTGTACGCATCGCATGGGTATACTAATTAAAAAATTTGATTTCTTAAAGTAGGCGTGCTAGCTCATCAAATGTTAACCAAAATTCTGGAACGGGCTTTGAATTCAAAAAGTGGCAACGGTAGGGTGAGAGAACCACTTAAGTGTCGTTAGACTGTGGATCTTGTCATGTGGGATTTTATCTCCAGGCCGTTACAGACCTTGCACCGCCAACAACGATCGCTTCCCATGGCTTCAAAAAATTACTCAAGCTCCGTTATTTTTTGAAGAGTTGATCTCTGTTATTTTTTAGTTAACGCGCTCAGTTTCATCGTCAAACAAAAACGAACAATAAGGCTTTCGGCAGAAATCCAAACAATTTCTGTGTTTTCTTGCACTTTGTCAGCTTCCATTCTGGCGTTTAGTCCCACCGTACAACCCCCTTCTCACCATTTCCGTATGACACGATCCACAGTCCACCGACAGTTAAATGGGGTCCTTCACCCTACCGATGCCAAAAAATTACTTAAGTAGATTTGGGATATTAATTATTGTGCAGTATGATCCTAAACTATTTCGGCCACATCGGGATGCCGGCATTTAATTGAGCTTCTTTTCGGTCGTCTACAAAAACCACACCCAATAAAAATTGCTACTTAAGTGGTATAATTCTTTCCCTTTACTTTTCGAGGCCCATATAAATTCAATTATATCATGTAGGGCATGAGAGAATAATATTCTTTTTCATGCTTATTTTGTAGCAAAAGCAGGCACATCTGCTGTATGTGGTCCCTAATAATTAGCCGGACTCCCGCCAGCAAATTTTGTTGCCTACTTCAATGGCCCTTGAATGGACAAAGCTTTGTGTGGCACATTAATGTTTTCATTTTTACGAATGTATAATCGCCTATCAGTGGTAGGGTTAATGCGATTCCCAGGTGGCATATCAAAAGATTCAGGGGCAATTGAGGTCGCGGTGGCATGCGGGTCGGATGCAGCCATGCAGACAGCATTGATAGGCTAGGCATCAACCTAAGTGGGCCTTATAAGGAGAGCTGTGCGTATGGTGTCTCTGAAGATGGGTAGGCGAAATAATTTCTCAAGACGTCAGACTATCATTAAACCTCTCCCGGTGAGCGCCTTCCCTTATTTTGATAGTCGCCTTCATTTTCTAGCTACGATCGGTGTAGTATAAGCATAGGAAAAGATGTGAATTTTAAAGCAGCAACATACCCTTTGCTTAATGAAATGGCTATTTCTATTCAGCACTATTTTTGATGGGGTCTTGTTTCGTAGCCGCACCTGCAGTAGACAAATCCCAGCCACCTGTCATACGGGACCGGTGGTGATAAGGGGGCTTAACACTAACCCCAACCCCTAACCCTAACCCCTTACACGTGCGGCTACGAAATAAGATCTTACTCTATTTTTTCATGCAACGGGACCCACGTGCACTTTGTGTTCTAACGAACATGTCTTGTACTTTCCCGTCCTCTGTTGACCATCTTTAAAAGGGAAACGACAGATACCCAAAATGAGACAATATTTAATATTCCCGACGTTGTAGCTAAGGACAAGAGTGCGGAATGTCGCTTAAAGTCTGCGGCTGCCTGTGGATACATGCGGCGGAAAAGAGCAACTTAAACTCCAGAACTCACAGCATCAACTTAGACCTCGTATGATATTTTTGCGAATATAACTTCTCCGCAGGTGGTGACTCAAGGCCGCATATGCCGTCCAAAGCTCAGTGGGACGATCGGTCAAACGGCTGACAACTAACAGGTATGGTTATCGTTTCAACCCGCGATATCCAGTGCTTTACGGTCGAACTCTCTTTCATCGCCATAGGCTCAGGATGCCGCATATGACTTGGGACAGTTTTCAGGCCATGGTTGCAGGATGCACAGAGAGCCTGTCAGTTTGTTGGATCAAGTGGATGAAACCGTCTTCCACGTACTCAAATACTTTGCTCAGCAACTGCATTCCAAAGCCAGAGCTGACCTGATTATAGGCTCATCCTTCAGTTTAATTTGCATGTTCGAACCATCAATCGACGGCTGATAATGCGTGAGATTTCGTTTATCATTAAGTCCATAGAACGGCTTACACGACAAAGGTTGATATAGCTAAGAAGAAAAGCAATGACATAAGCTATCAGCGGCATCTTGATTGCCAAATTTTCCTTGAAAACAAACTCAAAGTCCTACTTCGGTGGAATAAGTGAACTCTGAAAGTTGATCGAGTTAAGGCGGCTGCTTGCTTCCTTTAAGTCGACAGGCGACGTAACCAAGCAAAAGAAAGTATTAGGACATAGTGTCAGCATGGTGTAAAATCAAAGCCATCCATTTTGGAAGTAAAATTCCACAAAGACCAGGTGGGAGTCAATTCCGGAATCCAAAAGATGTCTACAGCAAATCTCACATCGCAAATTACCCAAACACGCCTGAGGAAACGATTTCTTAACGTCAGTATAAATAGTTCGAAAAGTGTTTCCCAGGTTTGGTTGCATATTTTTACGGAAGACGAAAATTCTGCTGGAAACGGCAAAATTCAACGCAACGGCTTTCGCAAAAACTAAATAAAGAACTGGAAACAACACTGAACGATAGAACTTTAAGTTCTTTTAGAAAATCAATTTTTAAGATGTATATTTAAGTTTGGGAAAAAGCGGAAAACGAATTAGAAATTACACCGTGAGCGAAAAAACTCAGCCGCAATAAGCAGACACAGAAAACCTCGGTACTCATTACGTGAAAATATGAAGACGCTGTTGAAATAAGTGTCCGATATCAACAAACGTGCGATTATCCACCGAAACTGATATGATGAAAGCCTGGAGTTTCCACAACAAGTTCGGCTTTCGTAAGAAATCCCAGATATTCGTTGTCGACGAAACGGGATTTGCTGAACTTAAATAGCAGGAATTTGATAATAAGAATCGACCGTCGTATCAATTCCGTCACCACAGACAACAACAAAAAAGCAGAGGATGTAACGGCTATACAGCCTTGTAGCGACCATGCAGATCTAAACGAAACGCCTTTGTTTAAAACGACGAATTGTGACTTTTGTAAAAAATTCTGGAAAGAGTCCCTCATTCGGAGCTCGTCATCCCCGGAAATCTATCTGGCTCTATAAATTTCAGTTTTCATCGGCTCGCTTTTTCTGTACTCTTTTTACGATATATTTTCATATTTTCCTCGTCTGTCACGACAAGCATTCGTATGTCTGTCTTTCGATCGATAATCTGTGCATACGCTTAACCATCTTTCACACTATCCGTTTGATATCCTAGAGCAACCGTTGTTCAACTGAGTATTGATAAAATACAGTCTTGCGTTCTTTCTCCCAACAAACTCTCGCCGCCAATAGCTGTCTAGTATTTCTCACCACAACTCTTTAGCCGAATGTCCGTCTAAGATTTGCATTGAACTATCTATTGTCTGGGAACAAAACCTCGACGCACGCATGAGACCGGAAAAAAAACGGAACTGCCTCCTAATAAGAGTGATATCATGACAAGCCGACGGACATAAACACCGCACACCTACAGAAATTAACGGCTTCCGCATTTATGAAGCCTATTGGCATTTAGTTTCTTGCATCCGAGAACTTAACGACCACGGTTCACTTTTGTTGTTGAGTTACGTGACAATGAGTCGACAATGTACCTCTTCATAACTGGTATTGGAATAAAAGTGCAGCCACGCCATCGCTGTCTGAGTAATTATCCCGTCCGGGTAGGGTCTAAGTTCTTAATGGCGAGAAAGCGATAACTGCATTTGTTGGAATGCTTGTCAGGGAACCATAACTCAAACAGCCCGCGACGCACATAGCGGCAGCCCATCACGAAGATCCCAACTTGCTTCGGTTCTGTGAGCCTGAGTGATTTGCGTTGAGCTGACTGTGGTTGAGAGTTTGTCATAACTCCTTACCGCCATCGCTGCATGCTCGTCCATCCGCGTCCATAGTAATTTTCCCGCTTATGAGACCTCACTGCCTTGTCTTCAAATACATCAGCCCCAGAAAGTGACGCCGAGCTTTTCTGGCTGTGGCAGTGTCTCTCGGCCTCATCACTCGATACCCATTAGTGATCTCTGGCCTGTGCGCAACCGCAAATCCCACCAGCATTCAAAGGAGGCCGACAGCTTTCGAAACGTTTTTATCGTGGGGAAACGCTCCAAAATGTAAATCTTGCACGGTCTGGTCCGCCACCTCGTCACACGAATTACTTTCAAAGTTTGAAATAGACTCATTGAAGATCTCATGTTCGATAGTTATATCGTTATCACATCCGCACCAGTAGTCGTAGCACCGCGCTATCTATCTGGAAAGTTTACTTTCGAGTTTTGTTAAGGATCACGAATTTAATATCCCATGCAGATTTAGTTCCCCATTCCTCCCACCCCCCAAAAATGACAGGAAATTAGTCCTGCGATGGAGAACTCAGTTGAAATTATGCCTGTCGGCTTAGACATGTTTAGAGCTTAATAAGCACAGGTCGCTTTACCATGCAGCGTTCTCGTACTGCACAAAGGGGGGGGGGGCCTATCTCCCGTTCAAAGGCGCTCCCGACGTAATAACGGACAAAATAATTTTTCAGCGCTCGTACTTTCAGTCTGATGATGCAGAAACAGCAGCTAGCGGCTTACCAAAATTTTCTACTGAATCTTAGAGGTAGAGCCCATGGAAAACAAAGTTACAGTAACTTCTGACGTAATTTTCCTGATTCTTTATATTTTCCAGGCGGCAGCATAGTGACCAGCAACAATGCATAATAGTCCTTGATCGACTATGGCCTAGGCGACCCAAAAAAGCAGTCTTTCACCGAAATCGCCGCTTTGTGACACAGCGACTGCGGGAAATACGGGGCGCCTAGATGGCTGGCAAGGCAGAGGAGGTCCAAGCGTACGCGGACCGCAACGAATGGGCGAACTTCTTCGCTGCGACCAAGGCTGCCTGCGGTCTCACAGTCACGGGAACCACTCCTCTTCGCGGCGCCAACAAAGTTACCCTGCTCACTGAAAAGGCACAAATTCTAAAGCTCTTCGCCGACCGCTTCAGAAATGTCCTCAACCGCCCTTCCGCCGCCATCTCCGACGCCGTCATCGTTCAACTGCCTCATATGGAGACCAACGCCGATATCGACCTCCAAGTCTCTCTCCACGAAACCATCAGGGACGTGCAGCAAATCTCTGGCACTAACCCATCCAGATCAGACGCCATCCGTGCTGAGATTCACAAGCACGGCGTCCCCAACTTATGGATCACTTCACAGCGCCCTTTCAGGCGATGAAACGACAACGACAAGTCCCTCAGGATTTAAGTACGTCACAACCGTCCATCTTCATCTTCTTCAAAAGGGAACCACCGCCTCTGCGACAACCACAGAGAAATCTCGCTGCCCAACATCGCCGGAAAGATCCTCGCTCGCGTTCTTCTCAATCGCTTAACCCTCATTTTCAAAAGGGGCTCCTGCCGGAGAGCCATTTCCGCCGTCGTCGCCGCACCACCGACATAAACTTCGCCGCCAGTCAGCTGCAGGAAATGTGTCACGAGATGCGGATCCATCTCTACGCAACATCCGTGAATCTGACGAAATACTTTGACATGGTAAATCGCGAAGGACTGTGAAAAGTCGCGCAGAAACTCGGCTGTCTCAGGCGATTCACTGAGATAGTGCGTCCTCTCCACAATGGCATGCGCGCGTCAAGGACAATGGAGCCGTCTCGGAGGCATTCGCAGTGAACTGCGGAATGAAGCCGGGTCGCGTCCACTGGCCTACCCTCTTCAGTCTCATGTTCACGGCCATGTCAATGGGCGCCTGTCGTGACGAACGCTCAATTGTCGGCGGATGCATTTCCACTCGAGCGCATCCTCAACTTCCTTCTATGAACGCGATCACAGACGAGGACATACAAAGGGGCATGGGCCTCTTCGCCACCGTCTGCGACAACTTCGGCCCCATTATCAACATGGAGAAGACGGTGATTATGCATCAACCGCCATCCGACGCTGCCAACGTCGTTTGCCATATCAACGTGAACAGCGCCCGACTGAAGGCAATGGACAACGTCACCTTTCAGGGCAGCACCCTTTCTTACAACATCCAAAATCGACGACGAGGTGACCCGTCGCCTGCAGAACAGTAGGTGGAATCGTCATGGTCTCCACCTAGGCACCAAGCTCAAGACGTACAAAGATGCCATCTTGATGACGCTGCTGTAGGGGGCGGAGACCGTGACGGTGTCTAAGAGGCAGGCGCGGGAGCTCAACCACTTTCACCTCAGCTGTTTTCGCGGATATTGAAGTTGAATTGGTAGGACCGGATCTTGGATACGGAAGTACTGGGACGGACAGGAAACCTCAGCCTCCGCACCATTCTGGAACAACTGCAACTGTGCTGAAACGGCCATCTCGTGCGGACGGCCGACGAGCGACTACCAGAACGACGCTTCTATGGAGATGTCGACACGAGTTCTCATCGACAAGGGTGTCAACTCCGGCGATATACACTCCGAAGACTTCCTTAACGCGCCTGAAGATCAATCTGGAGAACTGGGAAGATCTCGACCGGAACCGACAGACCTAAAGGATAACAGAGGTAGGAGCAATGACCTACACATTGGTCTTATTGGACATCGACGAACCAACTGCAGCACCCGACGATGCCAACTGAAGCCTTCCCGTTCACCTCTACCCGTCCCCCTACCCCGACGGCGTTCCAGATCGCCTGCCACCATCCTCCACTACATTCCACGCCTTAACATCTGCTGCGACGGGTGCTGCCCCCCACCACCACTGGGCACAGTCCTGACGCACCGTCAAACGCCAAAATCACCACCGCCAGCACCCATCATTGTAACCGCATATTCACCTCACATCGGGCAAGTCGGTCACTTGCGAATCCACAGCACAGAGACTGGCGAACCAGTGCCTGGGACACTCGCATACACTCGACGCATCCGCATCAACTGCCATCACTGCCACCACACATTCAGCCACCGAATGGGCCTATTAGCTCACATGCGTACTCGCGAAAACCTGCGTTAGACATCCGCCAGCTACACCACATCCGTGCACCTTTGCCCACCAAAACTTGTACCACACATCAACATCATCTACCAAGGCAGCACAATGTCATGCTGCACTTGAATCGATGACGAAGTGACACACCGAATCTCGCACGCCCCACGACTATAGGAACATGTCCGACGTCCCATCATCTGATACCATCATCAATAACACCCCCACCTCCGGCGATGTGGATTCAGTCCCCACCTGTCCTCATTGCGATCGTCCATTCACCTCACACATTGGCCTGGTCGGTCACTTTCGTATCCATCGCCAAGAAACTGGCGAACCTGTGCCTGGGGCACTTACACTCGACGCATCCTTATCAACTGCCCTCACTGCAGCCACACACGCAGCCATCTCAAGGGCCTACTAGCTCACATGCGTATTACAAAAACCTGCGTCAGACAACCGCCGGCTACGCCACATCCGTGCACCTTTGCCCACCAACACCTGCACCACACATCAACATCAACCATTACCCCACAACGCAAGCACTTAATTGACATCTCTCACGCAAGTCGGAAGTGTGCTTTTCGGCTCCTTCTCCATGTGGCTCCTCTGCTGCATGTGTGAGCCGAGTCTGAGATTTCCACGGTGTGCCAAACGCCTTGGTTTGGAAAGTTGCCGACAGACGCCTCAACTCAGTCCACGCAGTCTGTCTAGTCGTGTTTTTGTGTGGAGTGACGGAATGATGGGCTGAGAGTCCGGCTGCAACGGCTCCCTCTTAGCATGATTTCTGGCACACACACACGTGTGAGGAGTGTGTGTTTCTATATGTGTACTACCTCTCGTGCCCCTGCAGAAACGGGCCACGTGGTAAATGCGCTGGACCAACAAGGGGACCATATCGGATTCTGATAGGCGTTGTCGGATTGCGCACCATAGCAAATACGAACATTTCGGGGCGCGGTCGCAGACCCGGTTGCCGTCGTGTGTCGTGCACACTGGGACCCCTGCCACTCCCTCCTTCATTGCTGTTGTTGATTAAAAACCTGGTCATTTGCTGTGTGCACCAGGGGGTAAGGAGCGGAACGCCAAGGTGAGGGCTCGACCGTGCCAGCCACTAGCGCTCTCACCCGCTTTCGATCTTTTTGACTTTGTCTTGACATCGGGCTCAGGTGGGGAGAGTGTACGGTAGAGACTGTGTATTTCCACTATTACTATAAAAGAAATCAAGTACAAGTCACCGTCCCTGCTCTCAGTTTGTTGTGGGGCACACTGTGGACGTCGTCGGCAACGACGGTCGAACTGTAAAGTGGAATTGCGCTTTACAGTAGAGAAATTGACAATGAGTGGCGAAGTCAAAAGCCATAGCGTACGACCACATTCCAGCTCGTAGAAATTAATCGGAAGGAGTAGGTCCTAAACGCCTATGGCAGGAAGACATATTTCGAGTCGCGGCACAAAACGAACCACAGGAGACGTAAATGGAGGCTTTGTGCCATGTCAGTCACTCCGGTTGACTCAACGCTGACCTCCCACTGACACACGGTAGGTGAGGGCAAAACCAGTGATGTCGATTGGGAGGCAACATCCATCACCCCATTCGGAGCATAATTGCTTCAGTGCACCAGATTAGAAACGTCTCAACTAGTACGATGGCCCAAAACGTGTGATCCGCAAGGTTCCCAACTGACGGCTCTCCTCCAGGCTGGGCATCAGGCTCTTTAATGCAGCACCTATGACCTTTTTCATAAATGTGCGAGCCTAGTGGGTCCGCGGTCTGGGAGCAGATGTTGCACGCGGAAGAGTGCATTCTTCTACACCGGTCCCAGCGCCCATCACCGGCCACCTCAACGATGCGGTGTCGAAGTTGAGAAAGTGGGAGAACGAGTCACTGTTGCTCCCCCAGCACAGTAGTCGTCTCCGGCGCTTTTTATGTGCGGATTGTCGCATCTGGCGTGTAACCAAAGTAAGCAAAGCCTAAAGTCGTACACCGATTCGATAGCCACCCCTCAAACGTGAGACAGTTGGGTGCAGTTTCCGGGACAGCGAGACCGGGATGGTTTGCGCACCCCCAAGGGTTCAATGTATCGCCTTTACGGAGATACAAAAAATGGCTGGGGCAGTGCAAGTGTTTTCGTTTAAATGACCGGAATTTTCCATCGAAAAAAAACTGTTGCTGCAGCGAACTTGCCGGGTTCTTAAAGAAAATAATGATAGGAATACGTTGAAGCCATGTTTACTATTAAGTAGCGAAGCGGCCAGTTTCGAGTTCGTGTTTGGAATGTCAGTGCGTCTACCTGAAAGGGCAGGTGCCTGAACTAAGTAGTACTGCAAAGGCAGATGGAACAAACGAGGTCTTATAATGTCACACGGGATTATTTTATGATCAACATTTTTTTCGTACAAAAGCACAGCATAGTGACCGAAGGAAAAAGGGCACACAGGAGCGGTGCTTGGAAGTGTAGGGAGTTGAAGTCAAGCGTGAACTGGTGGTGCGCTAAGAATGAAAATAGGAGGAAGCAGTAATGCAAGGCTAGAAGAGATTCATGTGTTTCCAATGTGTCTATTTTGGAAGGGCAAAGCGAGCGAGGGGGGTTTGGGGAAAGAGCGAAGTAAGGCACAGCAACTGTAGAAAATGAAGCCTACATAAGATTGGAAGAATTTGACTAATGTTCTTTGTGTTGAAAACCTGAGATTTGGGGCTGTTGAAGCCCATGTTTCAAACATTCCACCCTAGTTATTCGAATCAATCAGCGAGGAAAGCTCTTTTATGCTTTCGTGAAAGGCATCAACAAACTGCAGGCCGTTGGAGTACTTTGAACTTCGCCATGAGGAGGTCGAAATGGAACAGCCCTTGTCCTAGGCAGAGAAAAATTGAAAGGCAAGATAAACAGAATCTGGAAAGGTCAGTGAGAGTGTACAGCCAGAAAGAAGCAACATAATAATGGGATCAGGGTAAAATAAGAGGCAAATATGTTGACAACAAAAAACCAATAAGAAGCGAAAGGTCATCTAAGATTGAGCCCCGCTTTCAACAACATCGGAAATAAAAGTCGGCGAGGGTATGGTATGCAACCTCCTGGGAAAACTGTAGTTAATTATGGCCCTTACATCAACCGGACATCCGGGTTCTCGGATCGACTTGGAATCCCAGCAATTTTAAGGCGAAATTAAACTTAGAGCGGTGCAAACTTTACCAGGTAGTTGGGGAAGTGGCTTCAAAAAGACACCACTCTAAGACAATTTTGGTACAGGCGGCTGCAATTAAGACAGAGGCGACAGTACGAATGTCTCAATTAAATGCCTCGGGACCAATAAAAAATTCCTGCGAAATTCCGGTATGGAATCGGTAGCAAGGGTACCCACCGTCAAAAATGAAACTGCACCTCTCGCAGATACGGAGATACCAAGATACTAAGATGTTGGGAAGAATGCAAGACTGAAATATTACGAACCAATTCTGCTAACGTAAATCCCGGACGCGCATTAGCTTTGCGGGGCGTCGCCGAAACAGCAACTGCAACTACAACAAACCACTGCAGACTACTACGTCGAGGAGCGGAGCTCAAAGCATGTCTGGCGGAGAAATTACGCAAAAAAGAAACCCACAGAGGCGCACGCAACAACGAACGGACTACACCGACTCCCCATTCGCGCAGCGTTTGTGGACTGCAGCACGGGGGGGACAGTGGGGTGCAGCGCTCGTGTAGCAACCATGACACCCGCGTTCACGCACGCGCTGCCGCGGGCCGTCACTTACCTCGCCTTCGGCTGTCCGCCACTTACCGCCAATCGCGGACTTGCCCCCACGTTCTCAGCCGCAGTCTGGAGTCTACCACCCACGGCGATTATTCCCCTCCCCCGACAGCAACATCAGGAGTTCAAATGTCAGGTACCCCGCATATACCTACCACCAATAATGCCAAACTCCACACCCAAACGATAAACAGAATCTACTGACAACCGCCACCGTCGACTACTCAGGGGCGAACTATGTAACTACAGTGCGTGACCGATCTCATGAAATGTTGGACAAAATTCTGGAATGCGTTTCCGATTAGGAAGGATTACTTAAGTGGGGTTGTTATACTTATTATCATGCAGCATACCCCTATAACATTTCGGACTCGCCAGGATGTCAGCCTTTAAATGCCCTTCTTTTTGACAACCTGCAGAAACCACATTCAGTAAAAAATGACTACTTAAGTAGCATGCATTTTTCTATTGATTTTCGATAGTCTTATAGAAGACATGCACAAAAATGTGCTTTCTTTTGCTCATTTGGAAGGAAATCGCATTGTCTTCATATTTTATGCCCGAAAAAGGGTGTATTTAGGTTATAAAACAGTTTCCTAAGTTCCGAATAATTTCCAGCCTGATCTGCCATTGCATCAGCATTAATCAATTTCGGTCTACAAAGTGCATGCTTTCTGCGTACGGAAAATCATACAGTGTGTGACCTAACTCACGAAATGCGTCGAAATTTACGAATGACTGCCAATCACTCGCAAACCGACAGCATTTCATAAGTCAAATGTCTATGTTAATTAATTACAAGTTTAAAAGAATTAAAAACATAAAATAACTATTATAGGCAGTAATGCGTTGTTTAGAAATGGCAATTTATTTTGAAAAGCGCGATATCCCGAAAACGTGAGAAATGGCTCTAATTAAGTAAAGTTCGTTTTTAGATCTATAGATCTCGTAGCAAAAAGCGTAGTAAATATGAAAGTAGACATAAAATAACGTCTAATAACAGTGTTTTAGTGAAGTTTACATCTAAATATCGTTTAATAAGTAGTGTGACTTCATATATGACGGTTTGTCAACTGCCTACATTCTGGGTGTAGATTCTAAAACAGTTTTCCCAGTGTTTCATAATTTTATTAAAGATTTGGGGTTAAATGAGTTCGGGTTTAACAAGAGAAGCTGAATTTTCCTTGATTTTGCCGATGGGGACGTCGTAGGATCAAAAGTTTTCATAATGTGACACATGCCATGAGGCCGGTCGGTGCCTAATAAATTTAAATAAAACTGACAGGCGTGATCGTAAACATACCATTTTGTGTTTATAGAGAAACCTTTTCTCCCGGTAAATTAATTTACACTCTTCTTTCGTTTTTGATTACTCTGAGTTTCAGATCGGCTACAAAATATTGCTGAATACTTCATGATTTTCAGTGTTTTCACCCGATAGTCCATAAAGACAGATTCTGAATTACCTATCTGTTGAGAACTTTAAAAAAGGATTGTTCTTGGAGGCATTTACCGAATTAGTGAGTGTTCAGGCGCTTCTTTACACGAAGATGATCGTTTGGGTCACATTTGAAGACTTATTCAAACATCAAAGTTCATCCTCGAGAAAAATGACTGTACACAACGAAAGTCAGCAACGAATAAGCCTTGGATCAATAAGAAAACTTTCCT